ATGGGAATGAGTTGACAGTCTGCAGGAAAAGAGGTGCAATGGTCTCAGGCACAAGCATTCTGCACTCATTGATAAGAAATGCAAAATATTAGAACTTCCACACAAAGAAGCAGAGAGATGGCTCAGCGGTTAAGAGCACTTGCTGATCTCTATGAGGACTGGAATCCAAGTCCCAGCACATACATGTTCCGCTCACAACCATGTGCAACCTTAGCTCCGGGGAGAAGATGCTTCTGCAAAGCCACCTACATGTGTGTGCACATAGGCACACAAACAGCCACAAAATAATTTATCTTAAGCTTTAAAACTTCAATAGGCTGTTGTGTTTTCCAAGTCGTATTGGAAATACAAAAACAGTTTGATGATGCACTGCCCGGAAAAGGCTAGGAAGAAATAAGCATGGGTGCATAGGAGGAATATAAACTGGTTGCACTTAGCAGTTTCTATGGAAACGTAAAAAGTCCTGCTATGTGAGCAGCAGCTTCTCTTCCAGGAACACAGCCTGCAGGTGCACCCTACCCTGGAGGAAGTGACACTCAATAGGACTGCAGGATGCTGTTCAGAAGAGAAAAGAAGTGGAAATCACCTGCTTCTCAAACAGCAGGACCTGATGAGAAATTAGGACACACAAAGGTCTCAATAGAACAGAGTGCGGGTCGGCATGACACATCATTAGGTTAAAAATGAAAAGAAAAGCATGTCTAGAAAAAAATAATTATAAAACCAAGCCATGTATGGTTATGTTTTTAAGTTATATACATACATGCACCTACATTCTTACACATACAAATCCACATCCTCAAGAAATAGCTATAATGGGAGATACCCAAGCATTAGGAACAATGTCTGAGAAGGAGGACAGTTAACAGGCCAGGTGCAAGAAAGAGATGAACTTTTCATTTTACGTTTTTAAAGTTTATAAAATGTTATATACTTTATATGTGCAAAATGGGAAGACTATAAAAGGACTTCTTAGTGCCTCTGGGGCACTATGTATTATAGGACCCTAGAGAAGAACTCAACAGAGCAGGTAGGAAGGAAACAGCAACGGCCGACAAAGGTTGGTAAGGAACGTTAACTCTTGCCTGGAGTTGTGAAGGAGGAGCAGAATGCACAGACTGAACCAAAGGTCTCCCACACCAGGACGCTGTGGGAACTGGGGGAACTACTGACTGGACACTTGCTTTCTGAGTTCTAATCTTTCTATGTAACATTTGATGAATTTGTAGTAATGTGTGTGAGAAATACAGGCTCCACCCTAATGACTCACAGATATAAAAAGCAGGCATGATGTAATGTGTAGGGGATGAGGAAAGAGAAAAGAAGACAAGGACATCAGCAAACTAATTAGTAAAATATTCAGACTAATATATTTCCTGTCTTGTAAAGCAAAATTCTAATTTTCTACCCTGAAAAACCAGGGTTATAGAATGCACTGAAAAATGTCACTAAGACCTGAATCCATGGTTCTTTCCTTGCACTGCGAGGTTTCTGGTGACATTCTCCCAACTAAAGCCTTCTATTAGGATGCGCTCTCACATGATTTGTCCCTTTCAGCACAAGTGTCCTGCCAGAGAGGTGTGTGTGATAGTCAACCTACTGCATCGATGCGGGCTTCTCTCTTGCTGTTTTATGTATGTATTACAAATGGGATATGTGCTTTTTCTTTTTTTTTTTAAGTTTGCAAAACAAACAGGAAAAATTACTGAAAGCATTCTCTCTGAAAGTTACAATGTCAGAGTCTGTGCCAGGAGGGTTGGCCACACCAAACAGACGTTACCCGTTGTTCTCACTTCCTGTTGTCACATCGTGTTTTCCACACTGAAGTCTAAAACGTGGGTGGCACAGTTAGTCGAGTACCAAAGGCAGGGAGATGGGTCATCACCTTTCCCAACAACCCTGTTGAGGTGTTGACTGGCTTCTCAGACACCTTGAAAAGTTAATAGCAGCCTTCTTTTCTGTTGCAAACTCACTCCCACACATGACTTTTCAACCAAAAGAAACTCAAGTTATTTAGTCCTGATGTTTTCCAAATTCCGCAAGAGTCAGACCAAAAACCATGTGTTCATGCAAGCAAACCAGCCTCAGACTAGTAGACCACGAGAGGCCCCTGGTGAAGAGGACCTGCCTGTCACTTGGCCTGGGCATTGGCTGGTTGTTTACACCATCTGATTCAGTGGTTTTATCTTCTGAAGTTTACACTACTTATACCAAACATGTTCTGAAAATACTAAACAGAAAATTCTAAGACTTAACACCATACTTAGTGTGAAGATATTCCCACCACCTCACCCTTTTCTACCTTGGTTGTTATGGATATCTTTGCCATCTACTAAATAACCAGGTATTTGGTCTCAGTGGCCATCTGATTACCAGATCACTTATAGCCATGTTGAACAGAAGTTCATATTGATCACTTATTGCCATTATTAAACTTTTGTTCAAGAAACCCTATGCCACTGTTAACGTAAACATTATGTCACAAGACTGGTATCATTCAGCTCACTTCAGCTCCTTAAGTAGGGGTCTTAGAGTATAGCCTCCATGTTTTGGGGGCACTTGTAATATCTATGCTGGGGCGCTCAACCCAAAGGAGTATAACTTTGTTCTATATAAATTACCACTTTGACTTGACTTTATCAAGTAAGGTCTGAATGTCACCATTCTGTATGTCCAATTCTCAAATGGCTATGAACTTTAAATAAATATCAATCTCCGTGGCTCAAGTAGAAGTTACAAAAGCCCATGCCACAAAACCCATACATGTCAACTGTAAGGGAATCCAATCGTCCCTTACAGCAAAAAATAAAAAAGTAAAGGCATGTACTTTTCATCTGTCCCTCAATGCTAACAGTTCTTCATATACAATGCTTCTGAGAACTCCATGGAAATGCCAAGAAAGAACGCCCCTCCTTCATTTCTCTTCTGTTTTTAAAGTTAGGAAAAGAATCTGGCTTTTTCCGTTCCCTCTGTCAACATGTGATATGCCTTGGAGGATAACAGTCCAGGAAGTGGATTTCAGACACTCAGCTAAGGCGAGGGAAGAGAGGGCCACTGGAACATCTCATCTTTGACAAAGTTACAACTTCCTCCTCAGGAAAAAGAGATTGAAATTTTTAATTTTAAGGGTAAAAAGGTTCATAGTCAAATTGAAACATTTCATGGATGTCAAAGAAGTCTTAAGAAAAAAAGTGTTTGAGTGAGTTAGGTGTGTAACTAAAAGCAAGTCCAAATCTTGGGAGCTTTTAGGAGTAACCCTGGTATTTCCAGGGTGCTCCATTTACCCTCCTGAGGGCAAATGCGGAAACTTGCAATTTGACTTGGCATTGGAGAGTCAATGAATTACAGGACCAGGTGGGGTAGAACAAGACTCTCCCTGGACTTTCATGTCTGAAGACTCAGGTTCAAAGTGCTCCTTAAAGTTGTAGCCAAAATACCCTCCCACCCAGGCTTCTCTTCCTGGGCAAGTCTCTAGGTGTTTATTCAACAATGGGAAAGGCTCAGACTGCAGACAACACCTTCGGTGTGTTCTGTGACAGTTCTGTGCCAAAATTACGACAAAATGTATTTCAAAAGAAGAGTCCTTGAGTCCACTTGACCCCAGTGGACATGAGGAAGGTCCCCAGGTGCAGGCAGTCCTGGCCCCACTCAAGGAGATGACAAAAGATAGCCAGCAAAATAGAGCAAATCTGAAATACTTCAAGCTGAGCAAAGGCTAGTGTGAGAGCCATGAAGAATCTTAGCCATCAGAAAAGAAAGAGAGAGTTGGGAAGGAATAAAAGGCAGGGGCATGACGAACCCCGAGTCTGTTGAAAATTCTCACTGGCATCCACAAATCTATTTTTTTTCTTGTTGACATCTCTGATGGAGAAGAATACCAAAAGAATGGAGACAAAGGGATTTCTGGTTACTCCATCTCATGGCAAGCTGCAGTCTGGAATGACAGATACCATGAAGAATTCTAGATCCTATCATTTCATGAAACATTGGGGAGACACATTACTGGCTGAGCTGGCAACAGTGCTTGCCTTGCATACAGAAAACCCCATGTTTAATCCCTAAAACAGCATATGCTGGGTAGGATGGCACATGCTGTAGTCCTGGAATGTGGAGAGAAGGGAGAAGGATCAGGAGGGCCAGTCATCCTCAGCTACAGAGAGAACTCTAGACCACCCTGGGATATATGCCTTTTAAAAAACTGTTGAGTGAAAACACACGTTGACCAAAGCAACTGAAGACTGACGAATGACTGAGGGCTGATATCAGACAGAGGCAAGTGTAAAGAGCTGCTATTTATTTTATGACACAGAAAAGCCCAAAATTAAGACTGATGAATTGAAGATGACCACTGTGCATTATTGAAGTTACACCAAAGCCGGTTTCTAAAATTATTATTATTACTATTATTACTTGTGTGAACATGCATGATTTTATAGGGTGTGGGATTTGCTTTTCTGTGTATGGGGAAGTCAAAGGATGGCTTTGCAGAGCCAGTTCTCACCGCCATCTTTATGTGGGTTCCAGGGACTGAATTTAGGCCATCAAACTTGCATCACTGAGAGGCGAGCTCCTTTACCCCCTGAGCCATCTCACTGACCCCATACACTTTAATTCAACCTGAAGAAGACAACCCAACAATCAAGGGTATCCCACAACAATGGACCAACCAGTGACTCCAGAATCCCCAAACAGTCACCGAGAGCCTATTGTTCCGAGACACTAAATAAAGTGTCTTATACTAATTTTTGCTTCATTTTTCTAATTAAATAGTTAGTATCACTACTCACACTTTACATAAACAGACAAAACATCTCTGAGACTTGGACAGACAAAATATTTGACTCAAATTCAAATAACTAATATTAAACTTAAACTCAGCCAAATTTCAAAATCAAAGCCTTTTTATTTTGTGGTTTTTCAAAACAGGGTTTCTCTGGGTTTTGCTTTTTAAAAGCTAATGTGCAATCTTCTGAGACAAGATCATTTCATTTTCTGTTTCTAGTCTTCCCCATGCTTTCGGCACAGAGCCATCCCCTTGTAGGACAACCCTGTTTCCTACAGGTGGGCTTACTGTCAGCTCAACCCTGGACAGAGTCTATATTTTTATAAGAATATGATATTGGTTTAAGAAAATAAATTCTTAAAACCCAGAAATATGCCTTGGTAGGTCTATAGAAAGTGTCATCTGGAACAATGCTAGCTATTATTAGAACATCGGGAGCACCTTGACAGACAGCAGTACAGTGGGTCCCTTAAAACTGAAAGCCACAACTTCCATATGAATCAACACATCTATTTCTATCACTGATTTGGAGGCATATACTTGTAGAAAAATTGAAAGCAAGAACTCAAACATGCACATCGATGCTCATGGCAGCATTTATGATAGACCAAGGATGGTGCCGTCTTAATGTGTGTTGATGGATAAAAGGACAAAGAAGATGAGTGTGTTCCCGCTGTATGGTGCTGTGGGGCCTTTCAAAAGGAATGGAAGTCTAGAACACGGTCCAACAAGAACGATCCATATTGACGGTGCGGTAACTGAAATAAGCCAGTGAGTCACAAGGGCAAGTTTGGTATGACTCAATTATCTGAGGTGCAAAGACAGGCAAATTCATTACATCAGCAAGCAGACTAGGGGCTGGGGAGTTAGTGCAGTGGTTAAAAGTACTTGCTGTTCTTCCAGGGGACTGGAGTTTGATTCCCAGCACCCACTCACAAACTCCCCAATTCTAGGAGATACGGTACTCTTTTCTAGCCTCTACAGGATCGCTCCCAAACAAGGCAAACACACAGAGGCGTAAATATATGTATAAATAAAAATAAATATTCTAAAGGCAGACTACTAATCACCAGGGCATGTAATGGGGGGGACTAATCACCAGAGGGTACTGGGGGGCTTGCCACCAGGAGATGTAGTAGGGGGAATGACCACTAGGCGATGTGGTGGAGGGGGGCTGGTTACCAGGAGATGCGTTGGGGGGATGGGTCACCAGGAGAGGTGGTGCTAGGGACTGGTCACCATGGACATGTGGTAGTGGGGACTGATTACTAGGGGATATGGCAAAGAGAACTAGTCACAGGAGATATGGCATGGGACTGGTCACCAGGGGAGTGGGGAGTGGTGAGAACCGGTCTCCTGTGGATGTGGGAGTGTCTGGTCACTAGGAGCTGCCAGTTTTTGAAAGAACAGAGAGCTTAGTTTTAGCCAATAAGAAGTATAGGGAATGGACAGTGACAATGGCTGTACAGGGCTGTAAGATGTATTTAATGCCGTTAATCTATGTACACTGAATGGCTAAAATGATAATTTTATATTATGTATAATCACACAAGTCTTCTTAAGGAAATAAGCTTCACACGGCTTGAAGTGTCCATTTGTCAGAGACCTGAGGAGGCAGCTCTCATTCTGGGTAGGGGCTCGATGAGATGAACTCTGAGAACTTCCAACTCTAGGTTTGTGTGACAGAATAAACACGTCATCAATTACAGAAGCAAAGCAAGTTTTTTATTTTTCCATCCAAATCCAGACTACCTTTTATCCCGGAGTGTCCCAGCCTGGCCACTGGGAGAGCAGGGCTCTGGAGCTGATTTACAATCAGATCCTTCCACTGTTTGTAAAGCGCACGACCAGAAAACCATCGCCAGCTTGCTTTAATGAGGACCAATTTGCTATTATTATTATTTTTTGGAAGCTTCTAACTTCCACTGTTTCAGAAAAGATACAAGAGAAGACAGTCTCTGGCTCACAGTTCAAAAATTAATGAAGGCCCTGAAACAATTATGTCTTAAATATACAGAGGTCTCCTTAATGTAAATAGAGTGTATTTCACGGCAAGTCTTAGAACAAGGGATCCGTTTCAGCATGACAGAGTGGGCAGGGGAACTGAACTGTAGTCTGCACTCAATTTGAGATTTTACTCCTGCTGACACTGACTAATGCACAAATAGCCCGGCTTAAAGGATCTGAGAAACACTGGGTCACAGTGTGAAATATATGCTAATACAGAACAATTTATATAAAAATAGGGGAATGTAAATAGCTAACTGAAGCCAGTGCTAGTGCCTCTAGCCAAATGGAACCAGGGAATATGGAGAATGCTGTTCTACTTAAGGTCTCTGTGAACCCTACCCTCGGGTTTTCTCCCAGCTCAAACGCAGTGAGAAACTAAAACTGGATTTTCTGTTTCCTGAAACGCATGTTCAGAGCATGGAAACGCATGCTCAGAGCAACCCATAGCAATAACCTAAACTCAGAGCCAGTACGATACTGGGTCGCCAAGGCGGAGGGCCTGCAGTATAGTGGGGAGCAGCGGAGCACACAGTCCCTAAGAAGCAGGGAAGCTGGTTTGAAGGTGGCACCAACAGACTTGAATGATGTAGTTAGGAACAGTGAGGCTCAGTGCTCGTGGGTCAGGCATGAGAATAGGCCTGGCCCACATCCATGATCACATTTAACTCTCGTGGTGAGACTGGAGAACCAGTATGGCATGAGGCATAATTTAAGTGTTAATACATATCAGTGACGTCATTCCAAGGGAAACTATGGCCATGGCAGCTACCAGCCATTCCAGGAGTCCAACAGCTTCTGGGACTTTCTTCGCGTTTTGACTGCTTGAAAATGCTATAAAATTCAAGGGAAAAGAAGAGAGGTAGACACCTTAGGGAGGCGATTAATGGATTCTGGGTAACTGAGATAGGATCCTCAAAATGGCAGGGCAGAGGGAGAAGTGGAAATTACATTACATTTGCCATGCGTCCTTTGGGGTTCCTCTGTGGCTGACGGCTTTGGGTGTCACAATGCACCCAAAGGCTGCACTTCTCTAAGCGGCCCCTGGGAAGAACCTTTCTAGGGCATCTCTGTTGTCGCCAGCAGGACATGTAGGTTCTTTGCAGCCTGACCTGCCCCACCTCCCCAGGCTTTCGGGCCAGGTTGAGTTATAGTTGACCTTCTAGCCAGGTTCTGCCCTTTCCGATTCTCTCCACGAGGATTCCTGCTTCCTTCCCTCAGCTCCTCACGCCTTCATTCTTTGATATTCAGATGAGAGTGAGCATCAGGTCTGCCTCATCCACTACTGCAATCTCAGGGAGAGAATATAGTTGGTACTGAATAAATGTTTATTCTGGGTAAAAACAAGAGAGTTATAGAAAGATAGACAGGAAGGGAGGAAGAGAATAAACTCCCCTTTCTCTCTCTGTTGTCCTTCCAAGCAGATGCTGTTCTCTTCTCTGAGATATGAAGGACACAGTAGGACACTCCATACTCTTTCCTAACGATTTTATCTTTACATTTCCCCAACTAGAAATTCACCATCCTAAGGACAGGGGCAGTGAGGGGAAAACAGTCCACATTTGGCTCAACGGCAGGAAGAAAAAAAGAGAAATGACTGAACATATCTTTTTGAAAGCCTTATTAAAAAAAATCTCCCTAAAAAAAAAAAACCAAAAAACTCACAATTAGTAGTGACTCATAGGTTGTTCTCAACACTGGGAAGAGTTCCTGGGTCTCAAATATGGCAGCTAAGTAAACAAGTATCTGGCAAAATAGTGGCAAAGTCAGGAGGCCTTAGGTTTTGACACACCTACTCAGAAGGATTCGCCAAAGGTCTTAGTTCTTAAGAAAGCTCGAAGTGTCTTCACGCGGAAGCTGTTTGCACGCACTTTTCACAAGCCAGTTTATCGGATTTCCTGAGCCTGACTGACTAGACACAACAAATGGAGATGGATACAAGCCTCTCAGAAGACAGAGTACATCAAAAAGACTCAAGATAAGTGACAGTTTTGGTGTCACTAGACCATGCAACGTCCTCTAGGGCGACGCCTGCAATAACTCCATGGTGAACTTGCAGTATTGTGACAGGTAGTCTGCCAGGGAAGACAGAGACCTGTGGGCAATCCACCAAAACCAATTTCCATTCAACAACAGACTGTTTGGAATTTAGTGAAGAATGCTTTCATTTGTTAAAAATCCACTTAAGTAAAGAATTAAAGGGTCTACACTGCCAGACAAATAGTATACTGTACAAAGCAGAGACTTTCTATTTTGTATATATTTAAGATCTTAAATGCCATTTCATGAGATACTGCATTCCTATGTACTCCTGAGCTAACTTTTCAAGGCTACATGGCCCACCAAAGGTTCTCTGCACAGGGACTCCTATAGAACCTTATGTGTGACTCAAGAAGGTGAACATTAAGGCAACAGAGGCTTCTACACTCTAACATGTTTACAGGGCTTGGCCCCAGGATGGAATTAGCTGGGCACAGTTCTGACTGAGCCCCCAATAGCTATGTATACAGTTTAATCCTCTTTCCTGTGGCCTACCTCCAAGGAGAGACTAATGGCTAGCTGCTAAATGTGACTGCCCAGGGTCTGGCTGGGGTTCGGATGACAAATATTTAATTTAGGAAAGACATGACACAGGCTGAAATCTCTGTTAATGATTGGCCAATTCCAAATCTGAGAATCCCAAGGAAATTTGGTGACCCCTTGTAGGAAAATATTACCAACACACTTATTATCTGCCATTAGACCACCTTCATTCATTCCACCTTATTTAGAGGCCTTATTGTCCCAAGCATTAATTAAGCTAGGCAATTTGGCCTAAATGTCTTATTTCTGTGCCAAAAACTGAGAATGCCATGCTTCAGTGTGGTCTCCAAACTACATAGGGCATGAACACACAGGCATATGCACATACCCATATAAATGGGAAGGATGAAATCTGTTTAGGAAGGGTTACATGCACCTTACTAAGTGAAAGAAAGAGACCTATTTTCTGGTACTTAGGTTCTATAAACTACAAGGGCCAGACAGTCATCCTTTCTTATTTGATCATCACAGCAACTAGCAAGGAAGCCCCACTTCGTAAGTATGAAAACTGTGGTTCTGCGGAATTAACTTCAGTTGAAAGCCACACAGTCACTTAATGACAAATTCGGACCCAGACTGTGAGACTTCGAAAGCTACGCTTCTAATCTACTGACCCTGAAGGCCGAGAACTTGTTCTCCAGAGTAACAGAGTTAAGGAAAGCTTTTCTACTACAGAGCAGGTGATGCTGGTGTGGGATGGCCTTCTCTGTGTGTGTTACTTTTATT